CCCCAGCTGTCCTGGAACTCACTATGTAGACCAGGCTGGCCTTGAACTCACAGAGATCCACCTGCCTCTGTCTCCCGAGTGCTGGGATTAAAGGCTTGCGCCACCACACCCGGCCTGGAACAGCATTTTTAAAATTTCATTCAGGTATAGTGGTGCACATCTGTAACCCCAGCACCTTGGGGGCTGAAGCAGTAGGACCTCCATGAGTTCAACTTCAGAATCTTTAGGAAGGTCATGTTATGGTGAGAGTGAGCCATCTGTCTCTAGGCATCCTGGGCTCTGAGCCTTTGGAGAGACCAGCATGGCCAGAGTGTGTCTGATGTGCCATCCTGACCTAGGCTTCTGCCCTTTCCATAACTGCCATGCAAAGTGAGCTAGGCTTGTGTCCTGAGAAAGCCATAGTATAGAGCAGAGAGCAGCCTTGTTGTGCTTCCTCAGAAGTCATCCTCTGAGTGTAGGAAGTATTTATACTTTGTAGCACAGACTTGGGCAAAGAGCCTCCCAGGGAAGCCACTTGCTCATGGGCACTCTCACTCTTCTGTTTCCTTGCAGGGATTGACTATAAAACTACCACCATCCTATTGGACGGACGGCGTGTCAAACTGGAGCTCTGGTGAGTTTGCAATGTAATGGGGATATGGAAACAAAGTGAGGAAACAAAAAGAAGTCTAATTACATCTTGTTTGAAATAACCATTTGAACAGATCCTGTTCAAACTGGAGATGGATTTTTCTCTATGATGAGAAAAAGAAAAAGTCTAGGATATTTTGTTCTGATAGAGCCTGCTCCCATTTTGCCCCTAAAAACTTGTTTCTTTAGGGCCATGGCTTCTCTCTAGTCTGTTCCCCAGACTTGGCTTCCAATTAAGGAATGAAGCTGGGTGTGGTGCCACATTCCTGATTCATAATCTCAGCAGGATTGGGAATTCTAGGCAAGTTGTAAGGTAGGAGTGGGAGTTCCAGGTCAGCCTGGGGTCCATAATGAGCCTGTCTTGAAAAAAAAGGAGCATGTCCCAGAATTTGAAGGTCAAGGCATGGATTCCCATAGGACTGGGGTTTTCCATTGTCCCTGCCTTCTGGGCCCACTTGAGAGACTTACTTGACCAAGCAGACGGACCAGTTTTCTCTGCTGCATACCTGAATGGTGTCCCAACCTGCCATCCACACTTGCTCTAGCTGCCCTCCCCTGGCTTTTCTCAGACTTCTAGAAAGAGCTGTGGAAGAGAAAAGAGGAAAGGACTAAGCCTGTCACACTGGGATTGCATGTGCTTGCTGGCCACAGTTGACCTTCCTTCCTGATCTTCCCTGTGTGTTTCAGGGACACATCGGGGCAGGGCAGGTTCTGCACAATCTTCAGGTCCTACTCCAGGGGTGCACAGGTAAGACCAGCCCCATTCTTTGTTGTTCAGCAGATGCTTCTCCTGATTCTTTCAGAACCTGGCTCACTATCCTGTTCAGTTCCTTTTGGAATATTTTATGTTCTTACTAGGGCTTGTTGCATGACAGATAAGTGTTCTACCCCCGAGCTACAACCCAAGCCCTTTTTTCTGAGTATTTTGAACATCAGGTCTCTCAAAGCCCATCAGTATAAGGATACTTTGAATGTAGGAGCCTCCCTTTCCAGGCTGACTGTGCAAGGGGGTGCCTCAGTCTCTAATGCATTTGCCTCTAGTGTCCCTGTATGAGCTACTGTTCCCATGACCTTGAGATGTGCCCTGAGCCTAACACAGCCACTGTAGTGGCCTCCCCATACTGTTAAAATGCAGCTCATTCATCTGTTTACTAGAAACCAAATGTGTCTCCCTTATACCTGCCCAGGAGTCTGATATGTGGGGTTGTACACCTCACCTGCTAAGGAGTGTGACTGCATGTGGAGGCAACCAGGGCTGTATAACAAATCAGAACTCTGCAAATTGGAAATGTTGAAGATGGGCTCTGTACCAGGAACTGCAAAAGATTCTCTGGAGAGGGGTAGGGGTGGAGGCTCAACAAAGTACGGGCTATAGGGTCTTGTCCATGAGCACCATGTATTCACAGATGTATGCATGATGTCGAAGGCACTCTTCTCTATTCCCTGGGGTCCCCTACATGCTTTCAGATCTTTTTTATTATTTTGAGACCAGAGGATGGGGAAGTACTTGGGGCCTGTATGAACAGACCTGCCACAGACCCACATGAAGCATGTGAATGGAAGCTCAGTCCCATTGTGATGGACTCTAGACTTCTGGAAGAGCCAGAGAACCTCCAGGGTCAGACCCCACCTCTAGACAACCAGGGCTAGCCTTGGAAACAAATGGGGAGAAAAACATATTCTGAGGTCTAGACAACTTCAAAGAAAGATGAACTGTCTCAAGTGCATATATCATGGCTTCTGGGCACCAGCTGATTCTGGGGACAAGACTGTGCACCTATGCTGGCTGTCCTGATACATAACATCCAGGGCCCCTATCACATGTCCACACCACTGCTCCATGACTTTCCTCTTACCTGGGGAGGCTATGTGAGGGGAAACTATAGTACAAATTGGATAGAGGTCACTGAGGTAGTGGCAAGGCTGATGACAAACCCCCCCCCCCAAGTAGTCAAGGCACTTTGGGTATGAAGCTTCCCAGGCATTATAGAAAATGGGATGTGCTACCCATTAAGCTCCTCTACTTGCAGACAGCATGTTTACTAATTTAGCTATACTGAAGCATGCCAATGTGAGATCTTTGCTATTTCCCTTCTGTGAAGATGGGGGATAGAAGGACCCTCAGGCTGAGATGGGCAGCACACTGTCCTAGAGTCTCATAGAAGGGCCTGAGTGTTTATTAAACCCATGCGGACTGTATCATCTGGAGCCAATCCTCAGTAATCAGGAGACAACAGGGAGTCCTTTACGGTATCCATTAAAGGGTAAGCACTAGTGCCTTGTCAATGAGGAGGGTAAGTTAAGGAAAAAACCATAGGCCAAAACCTGGCCCTGGTAGAGCAAAGTGAGGTGTTCTAGACTAAGGATCCTGTTCCATTGGCCCCACTTTTCTTTTTTTAAAAATTTATTTTTATTTTATGTGTATGAGTGTTTTGTCTGCATGTAAGAGCATCACGTGTGCAATGCCTACAGGGGCCTGAAGAGGGCATCATATCCCCTGGAACTGGGGTTACAGATTGTAGTTGACCACCATGTGAGTGCTGGGAACTGAACCCAGGTCCTCTGCAAGAGCAGCCAGTACTCTTAACTGCTCAGCCATCTCTCCAACCCCTTGTTTATTTTGTTTGTTTGTTTGTTTGCTGAGATTGGGTCTTCCTGTAGCCCCAGCTGCCCTGAAACTTGCTATATAGACCAGGCCAGCCTCTGCTGGGATTAAAGGTGTGTGCCACAATACCTGCCTGTTATTTTTGAGACAGGATCTTAAACTGCAACCCAGATGAGCCTCAGACTCTACAGAGAGCCTCCTTCCTCAGTCTCTCAAATGTTGGAATTACAGACATGAACTACCATTCCTGGCACCACTTTTCTTTTAAAGGAGGAACCATGAATTTTTTTTTTTAATTTACATCTACAGACATTTTTCTTTTACATTGTCTATGTGTCTGCATGCATGCACACACTTGTGTATAACAACAAGTGTGTGGAGATCAAAGGACAACTTATTAGAATTGGCTCCCTCCTAGCATTGAGCTCAGGCTTGGCAGCAAACTCCTTTCCCTACTGAGCCATCTTGCTAGCCATACATCTACAGACATATTTTATTGCCTTCCTATTGCTTAGCAGCATTTCCTGATTTTTCTACACTAAACACAATTTTTTTTTAAATTTTTAAAAATTATTTATTTAATAACCACATAATTAGAAGAAGCATTTCATTAAAACAGCATTGACATATTCAATAACAATTTTCTGAGCTA